AGGAGAGACTCAAAGGTTCAATTGTAGTGGAGATACAGCGAATGAAAGAAGAGATGATCATAACTATCCCTGACCAGGAAATCCCAACCTCAAGGAATCATAGCTCATAAGACGCATCTGTCAACTGAATATCGCTATGGCCACTATTATTTGCCTGCGATAATTAAATAACATTTAAAACTTAGAGCGTCTGAATTCCAATGTTATGAAGTTTATTTCCAACAAGATGTTTGTCAAAACCTTATTTATCAGTCCATTATTCATTCGTATAGCATAATAATAATTTCTCATCGTGTACAATCTCAGTTCGTGATCTGACCATTTTTAATGAGAACATTTCCCCAACCCAAGTCGGTTCGAAGGCTATCATTCAAATTCTCTCAGTATACGTAGCTGCCCAGTTTATCTCAGCAGCTATTAAACTAACGATAAAGCAAAGTAAATACAAACAATTGAATTGGCTCTTAGGGTTAGTGAACGACTAACTGTGTATCAAGTCTATATCTTAGGGGCGGAGAATAGTCACACTTTGATTCAGATTTACCATTTTTTTTCTTTTACACGTGAGCCAAAATAATGTAAGAAATGTTCAAAGACAAGTAAACTTTAATTATTTAAAGTTGTGAAGTATTTTACTATCCTGTCGTCACGCGAATTTTTGTTTCAGATGAGTAGTTGGTACACCCACAGGTCTTGTTGGAGAGAAAAAAAATTTCATGTACAAAAAGTATTTCACTTCGTGACATTAGAGCACTGTGGGCGTTTGTAATAACAGAGCGAAATGGTTGGAACAGTTGTAAGAATGAAAGATATGAAATTTTTAAGTGGCAAACTCTCGCTAGTAATTAGATAACCTGTAAGTATTAAAAGTGCAGTTGTGTTTCAGATAAAGAAGATACCATCCATTATTTACAATAGATATGTAATTAGAAATCGTTTTGTTTTGTTTTTGAATGCGCACTTTGACAAGAAGTAGCATAATTTTCATAATCGAACCTAATTCGGGAAATGCGAGTAGCATAATATATGTGCATAACATATTAGCATAATATATGTGCATAACTAGCCAGCTTTGTTTGATCAAGATGGCTGGATATTGGCCGAGTTCTTTTATGCGTTTTTATGGACCGCGACGAAGTTAAAAAAATTACGAGCTTTGTAAGTCTGATTCTTGCGCGGTATCAAAGTGGGCAGTCCCGAGCAGGTAAGATGGGCCAAGATGGTATGAAAGTTATGGTTAACAAAGAATACCTGAAAAAATAGACCAATGAGTGATATGCATATTTCGTAATCGGCAGCTGCACCCCGTGAGGTTTAAGGACTCTTGTTGACTTATTATTATTCACAGAGTCTTTCCTTCTGTTAAAGGTGAGATTAAATTTCACTTCGTTCGATATTTTCAACCCAAAAGAATGAACTCCAGCAATATTGTGACTCTTTCACATTTGCAGTAAGTCAAGGTAAGTAGAATCTGAAGCCCCCCTGCTTTCGATAATCCGCGCGATCAACGTTTCCCTTACTGCACAAGTCGCTATTTTTAAGAGATAATAGCCTGTGTTTTTTATAAAAAAAATCGTGGCACCACTTACTGGTTTTAAGAAAGAATAAAATGCAAAATTTGAACAGATATCTTCCCTTTGTAATCCTCAAAGGAGATTTTACCACAAAGGTACAAAAATAAAAAAAAATGCAAATATTTACGTTTCCCTGAAATCTCGCTTTCTCCTTCGAATACGAATACAATATTTTGAGAGTGATTATTTTCAGAGCGGTTCACCCGCACTTGAAGTGATTATAAACAACTTTCTATTTTTTCTTTCCATTTTCTGGTGTTTGTCATTGGTTACATCAGTACCACATTTTTTTCTCGCAGCACTTTCAGCAACCCAAGGTTTTCATTTCTAATAGGATACAAATAGTTTACCACCATCTTTTCTGTCCGTTTTGGTTGTTCGTTAGCTCCTAGTCGATGGTCATTGTAAGGACACCCCGCGGGATTACAAATTTTTGTTTCTTTTTGTTTTTTTTTTTTTTTGTACCCAAGCGACGGCAGGAGTGGAGGAAAATTGTAGTCATAATCATTTTTATAAGAAAACCAGCTGGCCAACCGCTATCAGCACTGTAATATGTGCTTTAATGAATATGTTCCCAACTCTTCAAGATAGAATCTTCCTTCACAGTCTGTATGGTCTTAATTCGTAAGTGTGGTCCTAATCAATTTGGATTCGACTTTTCTGTTTTCTGCGTCCAGTGAGGAGTTTTCCAACCCTCAAAAGCCTTCCTATCGTATGAGTCATGCCCGATGACCCGGGGAACTGAAAGTGAGTATAGCGTCACATCATTTAAAAACCTAACATTTTTTCTAGGAATTTAAAAACGTGTTCTCTCGTACACTGGCCTAATTCCTTGAAATAGAAGATTTACGAATAAAATTTCCATATTTATTGGTTGGTTACTCGATTAATATGCAGCATGCGCATGCAACAATGTTTCGGCCTTTGTTACTCTTTCGAAAGGTACGTGTTTCCTCGACTGAGTATTTCATCGGCATTATGGTAATTTGATCAACCAATTTTTTTCAGTTGTCGACTGCAGACAACCATCATTATCGCAGTTTTGCGAAAGATTATTTCCAAAATTCTTAAGTTTTGTTCATTTTATTCGCTCATCGCATTTTATTCGCTCATTTTTTGCCTGAAAATAGCCACATCTGTACCAGTTCAGTCCTGGCGTGAATGTTTCGCTTTCGTTTCAACTCTCTCGTTGAAGATGGTTTTGTTGTGGTAATTTTTCAGTACACACTGTAGCGCTAAACCTCGCACCTGCCTTCAAGAATAGTAAGCTGCTTTCCCTGATTTGCATTCGTTTCATCTCTATTAACATTAACATGACATTTATATGGGTATTTTCAGTTTTTTGCGGCTCATTATTTTTTCACGAGGTTCGGCCGTTTAGGTACGTAGGGCGGTTTGTTATTGTTCATGTTGGACTTCGTCTTGAGGTTCTTGGCAATGGATTTTTAAGACATGTTTCCTCTCTTTGATATAACACCTGCCATTTAAAAATTCCCCAGGACATGTCTAACCACAGAATAGCTTGGTGGTTTCAGTAGCTTAAAAATTCTGGAAAAAAAATTTGAAAGTGGAAAAAACCCAAAACCACTCCCGACTTGCTATTTCACAGGAACGTTGAAGCAATTTCTGGACTGTAATTTTTCGCTAAAAGTTTAACTTTGACTGATTTTTAGACCAGTTAAAATTTTATCGATATATCATAAATATTTTAATCTAAAAGAAAACTATTTAATAGACTATTTCATGATTTAGGTAGTAAGCTATTTCTTTCCATCTTCGTCGCGGGCCAATTTTAATTTTGACTACTAATTTCTTTCTTTATTCTCAGTATTCAATATGTACAGAGCCACGATTGTATTCATCTTAGTTCTGGTTTGTTTCGACATATTGTTTGCTACTAGCTATTCAAGTCATGGATCCAAATTAGTCCGTCAAGAACGACAAACAAGTGAACTCCGTCAGGCACATAACGACTCCAAATGTCGATACAAAATGGCTCTTTTGGACCTGCCACCTTACATAATGAACCCAGCTAATAACAACTCAAGCAAAGGGTTTATGTACAAAACGCTCATGAAATTTATAAATACCGAGTGTTTCGGCGTAAAGGAGGAAATGCAGAGCTCGAAGCCTGTCTATGAATGCACCCTGGATCCAATCTTTGTACAAAGCTACGGGAAGATGACAAAACTGATTAAAGAAAAGCAAGTGGACTTTGCTTTTCCTATTCTTTCCGACGTGAGAGCTGAGCTCAAGACTGAAACCAGTGTCACGCTCTCCCGGGCAGTTGTCTCACCCGGGTGTTCGATGATAGTGAACACGAAGTTATGCGAGCAGGATTCGCGGAAACAGTTGAT